CCCGAGCCTCGCTGTCTAGCCATACTACATTGTGCAAAATCATCATAAATTAAGGTTCTATAGTATCTAAGGTTCTCCTAGCCGCATGATACTATGTTCGCAAAAAACAGAGTACGTAGTACTAAAACAGAGCACAAATTCAAATTGAGCATATACGGCATTTTTCAAGCAATCACACAATTTCTTGCAACAATATAGTGGTTATTGTGACAAATTGGACAAGAATTGCTAGCAAAAACATCAAGAACAAGTCACATTGTTCTTCACGACCTTAGGAGGTCCAACAATGGCAAATTGCTCATTTCTTCACCAAATTGAGTCAAACAAGTCTCAAATTACTTCCAAGGCAATATATAAACATAATCAAGAAATTTCATGGCATAAAACTTGACAAACAAAGCAAATTGAGTATTTTCAATTTCGAATTTACATGAAATTCGTGAATAAACATGCCAAAAATTCATGAAAATTGATGTGAGTTTGAAGAAAACTTACATAGATCGGGAAAATAGATGAAAAGAGATTTGATTTGCAATAAATTTGAGTGAATTCGGTTGAGAAACGAGCAAGAACCGAGCAATTGAAATTTTCGGGTTTTTTCGAGCAGCTTCGCGACGAGCAAGTAGCAAAATGAAAAGGAAAGGGGTATTTAAGGAAATCCCCGTGCTGGCGCCAAGCCCTAAGCATTAGCGTCAAAAATTAGGCTTGGTGCCTGGCGCCAATCCCAGCGCTTGGCGCTGATGGCTTTTCAGCGGCGCCAGAACACCCAGCCACTTTGTGGGATTGTTCTACCTTTCTGCAACATATTTTTGGGTTCCTTGGTACGCCAGTTAGCCCCTCTAAGCAATTTGACAAGTGATCGACTTGATTACTTAAAGTGATCGACCTGATGAAAGATCGTCTCACTTAGCTTAAAGCGCCTAAGCATTGACTCATTAACAAAAAAAGCACCGACATACAGGCACCGACATACTGGTTCATTCGCAAAAGGACACCGACATACAGGTTCAAAGCAACAGAAGCGCCGACGTACAGGCATAGCGGAAGCAAAGTTCAGGCAACTTTTAAAGATCGACAAGCGTGGGTCTTCGGTAATTTCTTTTGGAAAATTATCGCGCCAAATGAGGATGACTTCAAGCGAGGATATCTTCAACGGCAATCCCTAGCTTGTGGAGAGTTGTCACAAACAACTGGAGGTAATTTCAGGCGAAGTTGTCTTCGATCATGTTCCCTTAGGCATGGAAGATGGTCATAATGCGGATGGAGATTGTTTCAAGAGAAATAATCTTCGATAGTATTCCCTTGGACGTGGAATATTATCAATGCGGATGAGGATTGTTTTGAGAGAAATAATCTTCGATGGTATTCCCTTGGACGTGGAATATTATCAATGCGGAGGAGGAACGTTTCAGGCGAAGCAATCTTCTATATTGGAAGCAGTTACAGGCGTAGCAGTTTTCAAGCGGGATGGCATTCTCTAGCTTGCAGGAGGTCACCAAAATAACAGTAAAGCGGCAATAATCGATTACTTTCAGAGACGAGTGCTCGACGGTGCAAGATACGCGTTTCTTAATTCTTTTATCTATTTAAACTAATGTTAGTTTGCAGGTATCGGCGTTACAAGATTGGTTTAGGATCGCAGAACGTTCTAAATCATTCTCCGTCCCTATCAATACTTTGACTTTAGTTTTCGAAACGTGCGTTTCTCCAAACTCAGTCAAAGTGGGGGCTTCTGTAGACACCCATTTGTGTCTCCTCAAAACCAAACCCGGTGATGAGTACCTTTCGCGTCGAATCATAATCGAATGAAGTGAAAGTGTGGAAAGTCTAGCGTTGCAGATAGTTTTAATTTCTTTTCTCTTCTCTCTATTTTTGAAAACTTATTTTAAGAAAACAGCCAATCCAGTTTGGTTGGTCCATGATATGGGTCCAATAGTAGTGTAGTTGGATGGGGCTTGACAAGAGCTTTCAAACGATATATTATAAGCCCAATTCCGATGAATATTGAGGAAGTTATGGCCAAATTACTAAACTGGGCCCAGTTTGAGCCTTATGTGCGGCCAAAGGATCTAGAGGAGGGCCTAATATAGATTTATCATTCCTAATTCAATTAGCATTGATAAATTAACTTTTTTTTACTTTTTCAGAGTTTTAATTAAAATCAAATAACATTTTGAGGAAAAGATACGATTTTATCCTCCTGTACGGCAAAATTTATCTAATTTTAGAAAACGCGTCAAAAACAGAATTAGCGCCTAACGCCAGGCATTGGCGCCTGGCGCTAAGTCTGGCGCCTGGCGCCAATAAGCTAGCGTTGGCGCCAACTCTGTTTTAGGTGCGCCAATGCTCTGTTTTGTTTATTTTATCTTTTTTGCTGTATTTCTCTATAAATAACGTATTAAAAACTCCGTTTTCATTCATCTATAACATGTTTTCAATTATATTCACCTACAACCATTTTTCATTCATCAATTTTCTCATTGTCTTCTTTAATCATTCACCATCTTTCTTTCTCTCTCTTTTTCTAAACTAGCTTTTACATACAAAATTCAGCATTCGCAAGATCTAGAAACACCTAGTCATATTCGAAGTTGCCTTCGGCCTAGACGTGAAAGGTTTAATTTATGAGGGTTTGGTCCCAAATCTCTATTTCAATTATTTAATTTAATTGTTTTGTTTATTATTTTCCTTGAAGTTACTAACGTGTGTATTTTGTTATTAGAAAGAGGTACGAGGCATTCAAGTAAGTGCTTTAATTGATTTATTGTTATTATGATATATAAATCATGCTTAGATTGTTATTTTGATTCCAGTATCATGTCTAGGGTAATTTTAATATTAAATATGATTGTTACGATGCCTTTTATGTTCTTCCTAATATTTATGATTGTTATTATCATGTTAGGGTTAAAGATTAGAATTTTATTGCTTAGTGACATGCTAGGGTTTGTTATTAATCTTGTTAGTATCATGCCTAGGATCTTGCTATTATTATTATTATGCTTTAACATGATTATGATTATTTTTATGATTTATGATTATAATTGTCATAATTATTGTTATGATGATTATTATACTTATATTATTATTATTATTATTATTATTATTATTATTATTATGATCATGATTATGATTATCATTGTTATAATTGTTATATATATAATTTGATTATTATGTTGCTTGATATTTATTTTTATTGCTTGATCATGCCTTTTGTGCATGTGTAAAGGGAATTGGTACTTGTAATCACGCTTAATAAGATAATTAATAATCTTGTTAAGGGTTAATTTGATTATAATTCAAGTGATCGCCAATAATAGTTTTATTTGTGCATTAATATTCAACCAACATAGATAAACAGGTTTAGGGTTAATCCTAATGATTGCATGTTAGTCAGAAAGCGCACATGAATACGATCAGAATAAAGTAGACGCCTATTATTAGGTCAGGTTCAATCTCTTTTAGGTTGGATTTGTACCTTCATCCCTGAACCCTTATTTGGTTCAAGACCATATGGAGTTGACGATCTCTTGGATCGTTAAGGGGTGTAACCTTCACCCTGTGAACGGTTTACAAGTTCCTAAAACTTGTTGGCGACTCTTTTGCTCTATCTTCTTCCCTTTTGGACGCCACCGTACTTTAGTGTATGATCACAGTGGGGTTTAAGCTAGGGGTTAACGCTTGAAATTATTCCCTACACTAACGCGTGAATTTTGTTATTAGAAAGAGGTACGAGGCATTCAAGTAAGTGCTTTAATGGTTTTAATTGATATTATGATGTAGAAATCATGCTTAGGTTGTTATTATGATTCCTAGCGTTATGTTAGGGGTTTTTAATCTTCCTAGTGTCATGTTTAGGGTAACAACTAAAAAAAGCTAATATCAAGTATGATTAAAAGTATGATGCCTTTTATATTCTTCCTAATATTTATGATTGTTAGTATCATGTTAGGGCGAAAGCTTTGATCTTTATTGTTTAGTGACATGCTAGGGTTTGTTATTAATCTTGTTAGTATCATGCCTAGGATCCTGCTATTATTATGCTTTAACATCATTATTTTAATTATTATGATTGTTATTATCATGATTATGATTATTTTAATTATTATGATTTACTATGTTGCTTGATATATATTATTTATTGCTTTATCACGCCTTTTATGCATGTTTAAAGGGAATTGGTACTTGTAATCACGCTTTATAAGATAATTAATAATCTTGTTTAGGTTAATTTGATTATAATTCAAGTGATCGCCAATAATAGATTTATTTGTGCATTAATATTCAACCAACATAGATAAACAGGTTTAGGGTAAACCTATTGATTGCATGTTAGTCAGAAAGCGCACATGAATACGATAAGAATAAAGTAGAAGCCTATTATTAGGGCAGGTTCAATCTCTTTTAGGTTGGATTTGTACCTTCATCCCCGAACTACCAGTCATGGTTCAAGACCTATTTGAGTTGACGATCTCCTGGATCGTTAAGGGGTGTAACCTTCACCCTGTGAACGGTCACTACAACAAATTGACCTTTGTGCCACGGGAAAAATCGTGGCACAAGTTTAAAATTCCCGTAGCTATGCAGTTTAGCCACGGGAATTCTAAAATTTACACCCGAGGCACAAGAGGTCGTGGCAAGAAATTTGCCACGGGAAAAAGGATGTCGAGGCAAATATTGGATTTTATGCCACGGGTATTCACGTGGTAACCAAATTCTTTTGCCACGAATACTAACAAGGCTAACAACTAATTTGCCACAAATTCTATTGTGGCTAATAAACTTCATAGCCACAAATATTACCGTTGCTAATAAGCTTGTTTACCACTAAAATTACCGTTGCTAATAAGCTTGCCACAAATACTTTCGTGGAAAATATTATCCATTGCCACAAATACTATCGTGGCTAAACAAGTTGTTTGTCAATAATTTTTACTGTGGCTACCAAATTTACTATCGATGATCATTATCGTGAGCTCTCGGCATGATCAACACGTGACTAAAAATTTTAAATGATATTTTTCAATGAAATAAATCACATTTGGTAGTTTTTTTATACCAATAAATAAATTTCGTAACATATAATAAATTTGGAGAAATAGATTTTCTAATTGATGTTTAATATCCATACAAACAAAATATTTGAAATTAGTATGATTCATCACTATTCACATACACACAGAAAAAAATGAAAAACAAAATTATTGTACGATATGTAATTTGATCGATAAAAATAAATAGTACGTAGTGTATCTTGGAACGTGCTTTGCATTCTCCTTTTTACCTACAAGAATAAAAAAAAAAACAAAAAGAATTAGTTACAAATTATTTTCTAAAAGACTAATAAACTATAAATGATAAACAATACAACCAACACATGATAGAAACCTCTATGTTTTCCTAGCACCTTTCTTTAGAAGCTGATTATATACTGCAAGATAGTTATAAGATAGGTCGATTGAACAGATTCATAGACAGATTCACTCTAAACTGATACTTGGAAAACCACCTAAATAGGGAGGAATTTTTCCACTGAACTGTATACTTGTATACTTGGCATACTACCTAAATAGGGTGGAAGTTTTCCACTAAACTGATTCATGGACGATTTAGAGTCTGAAGATTAGTGCAGGAAACGGTAGAAATGGTCTCGAAATACGGAAGCAGCCCTAAAATTCTGTTAGCAGACATGTCAGGAATCTGCAGTATACTAATACTACTACTGCTTTAGGTTGAACTCAGAAAATCTTTTAACAGTAAACCAGTCAGATTATTACCCAAAAGATTAAGGATATATAATTAGTCCTAGGAGACGTTTGCTAGTGTTCAGCAGATGAAGAAGGGTATGATATGAAGTTACTAAAAAGTCAGATCATTATTAGATCATGATTATTTCAAGGTTACACAACAGATTATTGTGTAAGTAAATTAAAGTAAGAAAGACCAGGCCAACTCTCAAATCAAAACAGAGATATCGAGGTGTACTTACTTCACTTTGATGAACCTTCAATTCCTGAATCATCATTATTTTAAGAACCTCCTGCTTCAAGAAAATTTAGAAATTGATTAAATTTCTTCTCCCAAACCGCATTGTTCCCTGCAATTTTTTGTCCACGTCATTCCTAACGGCTTATGCTTCTTTTTTGGCTTGTTCAGCTTCTATTTTAGCTTTTTTTTGCCTCTAATATAGCATTTTCAGCATCTTTTTTGCTTCTTCAACTGCTAGATTTGCTTTCTTTATAACTTCATTCACCTCTTCAAACAGATCTAATCGAGAAGGCTTTACTTTGAAATGTTTTTCACCATTTAGTTTTTCAACAGGAGGTAATAGGGTAAGCTTCCTGCAATAAACTGTCTCTCTTTTTTTTCCAACTATACCTAGATCATGCATAAGCTCAATAGGCATAGAATTGACATGACTAAAACCAAATTGAGCATTATACGTATTAAGGGATAATTCATACCTGCTGAAATGTTTAATTCCTCTACCTCTGCTGTATCCATGAGTTCGTCGTTGTTGAGTGGTTCACTATGTGAAGATGCAAGTTCAAGATCAAGATCTTGACCAATTTGTCCTTCATCATCATAATATCACGTTGTGTTGTTATCATCATCCCTTGTCTCTTCAGCCTCTTCATCATTTTCTGTTAACGTGTATTGGAAAAAATAGATAAAATATATTTTAATCACTATATATGTATTAAGAAGGTAATATTTCTGGTGGAGTTGTTGCTAGGTTCTGCAAAAATTTATATATACATGGATATGTTTTAATTGTTATTTAAATTTTAAACATGGTTCTCCTGCCAGCAAGTGCATAGCCGCCCCTACCCTACCACAACAGTTTGTAGCATACTGCAGAAAAAAAACCCTTCCTACATTTGCCCCCCCTCTTTGCAGGCTTGCAGCATGATTTTAAATTGTGAATATTGGCCATGAAATAATTTGAATGGAATTTCGCAACAGTAATCTCTGATCTTATATTTAGTTTTGCCGTAGATACTTCAATATTATTTGTTATAGTTAAATTAGAAAAGGCTTTGGAAAAGCAAATACAAACCAAAGAAAAAACACTTCCTTTGGAAAAGCATTACCAAATCCATCACTATTGGACATGAAATATTATTAAGGCACAAATCTTGATACAAACTGCAAAATGTGAAGTGAAATAAATCAAAATTCTATATATTTCAAAGAAAAGGTTGAGCACATCTTCCATGACTGTGAGTTTGCAAGCCATATTTGGAATAACTGAATGCTTATGTCTCGATATAGAGAGTCAACAGAACTTTATCCTCGAGGATTGAATAAAAAAAATGGCTGAACTATGCAATGAATTAGGTCAACCCACCCATACAAGCAATTCAGGTCTGTGAGAGGAAAAAGGAATAACAAGGCAGGGGACAAGTTCAGCCAGCAACAACAATTTGGAAACATGACAAAATATTTCAATGAAGCATTAAAGAGTGTGGTTAATGAATAGGATTTTTATGTAATTTTGTGGGTATTGGGTAGGGTAGTTAGAAGTAGTGTCAAGCTGCCATTTTGGTGAGTTGTTGCCTCAAGCTATAACTTGTAATTTCTACTTTCATATATCAAAGTTGCAAGCTTTCACCTAAATTATAATTCCACCATTAAAATATTACAATCAGTTTTCCTAGTCGATCTACAGCAAACTACTTGCAGAAAGATTCTATGATAGTATGACCAATGAGGGCATGTGTATATATTTCCTATTACAGGGCATCTGGCTTGCTAGGAGTAGGAAAATATTCAAGGGCCTAAGTTAAAATCCTGCGATTGCTCTTGTTGAAATTAACGACATGGCAATAGATTCTAAAGAGTAGGAAGATAAAAGAGAAGGCACTAGGGAGGCGGTTAGATAAACAAGACTTGGAGCTTGGATGGCTACAACCAAGACCAGTCCTATACACCCTCCTTACCATACCATCTCCACCTACTTCCCCTGCAACCATCAAACCTCCTGCTGCCCTCCCATACCCCCCCCCCCCCCAACACAATCTTCTAAACTACCCACCAGTTGACACCCACAGAAACAACAAATATAGCCTTCAAGCATAATAATACAGATGACAACAATACTAAAGATAAAGCTATATGTATCACATATTAAATAATGATATGACACACATGAACTATGACTTATTCGACAAAAGGAACACACATAAAAAGAGATGGAGTAAATTGCATACACGATGCATTCAAAAACCCAAAAGAATCTATTATTTATTTAATATTACTGAGTAATCATGCTACAAAAGTACTTAAGAATAAGGACTTTAACTAGAAGCATGAAAATTAATTATTTAGCCCAAAACAAATAAAATTTACACGGAGTACGAATTACTAATTAATTGCTATAAAGTAATTTGTTTTGACTTTTTAACGCTTTTACATTAGACATTGAGGTAATTATTAACTATTTAGGATTTAGTCCAAAAAACAATTAAAAAAATACGAGGTATTATATACAGGAAAAAACACAGGGCATGCAAATATATCAGAAAATTGAAAAGATTTCACAACAAAAAAAAATCCAAAAAATGTTGTTAAGTACTTCAAAATTTTGAATTAGTTAAATTAAATCAGTTAAGCTGCCATACGAAAAAATCAACATTAAAGAACACATCCAAATTTAAGCAAAAATTTGCAAAAGGAAAATTACAATTGGAGTATGTATAATTTTATTTGAGCATAGCAATTACAGTAAAACATAAATAAGAACTAAATTCAACTGTTACCGTATTTGAATTGAAATAAATAGCCATTACCATTGTTTTAATTCTTTAAAGTGCGAAATAATAAGAAAAAAGAACAATTAACCCATCTTATCTTGGAACTTTTACAACGGAATTGATATCACTATTCAAAGGCGTGGAATTACGTTTTGATCTTGAATCTGGTCACGAACGGTTGTGAATCACATATTAGCGGAATTGATATCACAATCTGGTCACGAACGGAATTGATATCACGATTCAAGGGTATCATGATTTTGAAAGGATATTTTTTTAACTAAATTGGCGGAACCAATTTTCGTTTTAAACGCTGAATTTTATTTTTTATTTTTTGGGCAAAAGTGGGATTAACTGCCTAATCTATCCATGTTGGGATTTGTGAGTTTTACTTTTATTTTTAACTGCTTAATTCTTTTTTTTTTTTTTAAATAACGCTCATGTTTCTCAGGCACGGTACCGAGCACTCGATAAGAGACGCAATCTGAGACGTGTTCTTATCGAAGATATTTTTATATCAAAGACATTGGAACACTTGCCCTTTTGTACACTTTTATTTATTTTTTTGCTTTTGCTTATTTTTGCTATTTTAATTTTTTGAATCACTCAAGCCTTTTTTTAGAATTGCATAAGTTGCACACCATCCCATCCCAAGGTTAGGTAGATGTAGGTTGAAAAAAGAAGGGTATATCGTTAGACGAGGCTCAAAGTGGTTTATGAAGAAAGGATTGCATATTTGAAAGGTGAAAGGAGATGTGATGTGGCTACAAGGGGTGCCTCAAATCATTGGTATACCTTGTGCTTAATTCGACATGGATTTTTTTTTTTTTGCAATGAAATGATCATATATAAGGAAATAAATGCTCATTTTATTAAAAAGGGGAAAAGGAAAAAAAATACAAAATTAATCTAAAGGAAAAGAAAAGGTGCCTATGCTAGAATTATTGGGGAAAGGAAAAAATGAAAAAGAAATAGAAAAAGAGGTCATGAAATCTTGTCGTTGAAGCTCGCCTCTGTCTTGTGTTGTTTGCTCCGACATCATCCAGTCTTCTCGCTAGCTAGAGGCAATGGGATCTTATTTGCCTCTATGAGATCTTGAATGAGGTTTTGAAACCTGTAGCATTCATCAGTAGTATGACCGCGCCCTCGATGATACTTGCAATAGGATTTGGATTTCATCTCGAAGATCGATTTTCTAGTGTTGGATCCTCGGTAGGGCCAATAGGTTTGATTAATCCTCGATCATAGAGACGATCGAAAGCAGCATCGTAGGTCATTCCAATGGGTGTGAACTCTCTCCTGCGTTTCCTTTTAGATCCTTGATTGTCCATGGCTAAGACACCATTATGATCAAAGGTACTAACATTATTACTAGAGTGGGCGTTTTCGGAAGAAGAAGGATTGTCGTTCTTCTTTCCTTTCCAGCCACCGTGGTTACTATTGTTAGTAGCTTTTTGCTTTGCGAGGTCGTCTTCGGTCTCGATACCTATGTCATAGACGGCTCTGAAAGTATTCAAGTTGTGTTGATATTTTAAGTGCTTTGAATACTTTTCTTGGAGATTTTTGATAAACATCCTCACAGACTCCTTCTCGGCGGGGACCTAAATCATCTTGGCGGAAGTTTCCCTCCATTTATTAAAGAAAGAAGTAAAGCCTTCATTCTCTTTTTGTCTTAGCATCTCAAGTTGTCTGTGATCTGTTTCGTCTTGGATGTTGCACTTGTATCTATCAACGAAAGCGTTTGTTATCAACTCCCAAGAAGAGGTTTTTTCTTTCTCGAGAGAAAAGAACCATTGTTGACAAACGGTTTCGAGAGATAGTGGGAACAGAGAGGGGAAAACCTTCTTATCGATACCCTTAATGCTCATTATAGTTTCAAAAGCTCTTAGATGGAAGTAAGGGTTATCTGTTGCCTTGAATTTAGGGATGTCAGTGGCGTTGAACTTATGCGGAAGAAGTTCCTTGTCCAGCGAGACCCCTTATGAACTCATGCCTTGAAATTTATAGTCACTAGATAGCTTGCTTAGACTCTCTCGCATGAGGTCCATCTGTTGTTCCTTCACGGGATCATTGATCTTGAGTGTGAGTAGCTTCAGTGTCTTAGTCACGGTAACCGATTGGTTCCTAAGCTCATTGACTTCTTCTTGACTTGCCATTATCTTTTTAACCCTCCTCTTTTGACGAATTGGTTTATCAAAAAGTGAGACTTGAACAAAGAGGTTGTCCTTGATTAATCGCTCTTCTCTCCTCGACCAAGTACTGTGGGAAAGGAAATTGGGGATATTTATTGTTAATTATTTGACTCAAACTTTATTCAACATGCAATGGATGGAGTAAGTGAAGAAAGATTGGAATAGAATGTGAAAGAAGATTTAGATGGAAGAATTAGGAATAGAATGTATCCCCAACTCAAATGACGGAAAAGACCGACTCATGCATGGACCTAAGACATGGTCATGGTGATGCATACTCAAAGTGTGTGCTAAGACTAGTGAGTGTAGGTGATATGTTAAGACTCGTGTCATGACCATGTGGCTAGACTATGTGACTAGACTCAATTAATGACTTGACAAGGTGTTATTGACAGCGAAAATTAACCAAATTAATTAGCAAACTGGTTAATTAGACACTAGGTGATGACTCGACCAATAATCCAAACTGTCGGCCAAACGTCAGGACTGGCGTCGCACTGTATAGCTCGGCGCCAGACGACAGAGTTGTCGCCCGGCGCCACACTCCACAAGGTGGCGCTACAGTCCAGACTTTGGCGCCAATACTGGAGCTTCTATCTGGAACTGTTTTCGGTGTTATTAATCAAAAGGGGTATGCCTAAAGTCGTACTAGGTCAATTCTAATTAAAATATTAGACTTTATTGACTCTAATTAATTAATTAATTAGGCAAAGTTCTTTAAGTCATTAATTTATTTAATCTCAACACAAGTCAAACAAACGGTTAAGAAAAACATAAAATATATGCACAACAAATAATGCACAATTAGTCAAGTAGGCACAATATGATGCAATGAATTTACAACCTAACCATGGCTCTAGTTCTCTAAAGTTCGGGATATGGGTTAGTCAATAGAGGGTCCATGGTTAATTGTCCGGATGCACCGCGCGGAAGCCTAACCGTGAAGGGTTGGAGCGATTGGATGGGACACCGCGAGTTTTAGAAAAAACTCGCTTCCATGGTTTGGTGAATTCAACATTCTCTGATGTACCCTTTGTTGCACAGAGCGTTCAATCGGGTAGATGGAGCATGAATTCCCACAGGGTTATGTCCATATGTAGAACACATATGGGTTTCAGAAAAGTGAGAAAAAATTCAATCAGGAAGTAGGATCGAGCAAACAATACGAATAACCGGACAAAATTAGAACGCATATTTCTGGCTCGGTATTGGGGGAGATTGGCGCCGGCAAACAAAGACTTGCGCCAGTTTTTAACTGTAGCACCTGGCGCCAATGCTGGCGTCTGGCGCTACGGCTAAAAGTCTGGCGCCAATGCTCTGTCCCCTAGCACTACTTCCCAATGCCTCAGCAGCTTTCTGTGCTCGATAAAATTTTCTAGTTTCGCGCAGTGTTGTGAAAGATATTTCTCAAATTTCCTACGTGTAAAATCCTATGTTTTTAACTCATTACGGATGGTCTTTCCAATGAGATCTTTTTTATGCATATGAAAATAATGTTAATCAAAATTACGCACATGAAATACTTCGAATGTTTCGAGTCTCATCCATTCATTCTAAATCATTGCCGAAACAAATTCAGGAATTAAAATAGAAATCCTCCCCAGTGGAGTCGCCAAAAACTGTGGGGAATAATTTCAAGCGTTAACCCCTAGCTTGAACCCCACTGTGATCATACACTAAAGTATGGTGGCGTCCAAAAGGGAAGAAGATAGAGCAAAAGAGTCGCCAACAAGTTTTAGGAACTTGTAAACCGTTCACAGGGGAAGGTTACACCCCTTAACGATCCAAGAGATCATCAACTCCATAAGGTCTTGAACCAAATAAGGGTTCGGGAATGAAGGTACAAATCCAACCTAAAAGAGATTGAACTTGCCCTAATAATAGGCCTCTACTTTATTCTGATCGTATTCATGTGTGTTTTCTGACTAACATGCAATCAATAGGATTAACCCTAAACCTGTTTATCTATGTTGGTTGAATATTAATGCACAAATAAAACTATTATTGGCGATGACTTGAATTATAATCAAATTAACCGTAAACAAGATTATTAATTATCTTATTAAGCGTGATTACAAGTACCAATTCCCTTTAAACATGCATAAAAGGCGTGATCAAGCAATAAAAATAAATATCAAGCAACATAATAATCAAATTATATATATAACAATTATAACAATGATAATCATATTCATGATAATAATAATAATAATAATAATAATAATAATAATAATTATAATAATAATAATGATAATAATAATAATAATAATAATAATATAAGTATAATAATCATCATAACAATAATTATGACAATTATAAACATAAATCATAAAAATAATCATAATCATGTTAAAGCATAATAATAATAGCAAGATCTTAGGCATGATACTTACAAGATTAATAACAAAGCCTAGCATGTGACTAAGCAATAAAAATCAAATCTTTAACCCTAACATGATACTAACAATCATATATATTAGGAAGAACATAAAAGGTATCGTAACAATCATATTTAATATTAAAATTACCCTAGACATGATACTAGGAATCAAACAATCTAAGCATGATTTCTATATCATAATAACAATAAATCAATTAAAGCACTTACTTGAATGCCTCGTACCTCTTTCTAATAACAAAATACACACGTTAGTAACTTCAAGGAAAATAATAAACAAAATAATTAAATTAAATAATTGAAATAGAGATTTGGGACCAAACCCTCGGAAATTAAACCTTTCACGTCTAGGCCGAAGGCAACTTCGAATATGACTAGTTGTTTCTAGATCTTGCGAATGCGGAATTTTGTATGTAAAATCTAGTTTAGAAAAAAAGAGAGAAAGAAAGATGGTGAATGATTAAAGAAGAGAATGAGAAAATTGATGAATGAAAACTGGTTGTAGGTGAATATAATTGAAAACTGGTTGTAGATGAATGAAAACGGAGTTTTTAATACGTTATTTATAGAGAAAATCAGCAAAAAAAGATAAAATAAACAAAACAGAGCTGGTGCCAACGCTAGCTTAATGGCGCCAAGCGCCAATACCTGGCGTTAGGCGCTAATCCTGTTTTTGACGCGTTTTCTAAAATCAGATAAATTTTGTCGTACAGGAGGATAAAATCGTATCTTTTCCTCAAAAATGTTCTTTAATTTAAATTAAAACTCTGAAAAAGTAAACAAAAGTTAATTTATCAATGGTAATTGAATTAGGAATGATAAATCTATATTAGGTCCTCCTCTAG